TCTTCCACATATAAAGAAGGTGCCCAGATACGGATGGCATCAGGGCTGGGCAGTTACTAGCCCTTACACAGCCAAAGGTTTGGTTACAGTGATCACCAGTCACGTGTCCTACCTACTGATTGTGCCCCCTCAAAGTTATTTCTACATATCAGAGAGAGTCTAGGGAAAAAACAGGCCAGCAATTATTGAAATCTGAGGTACCTAGAAGGCTGAGGCAGAATTAGAACTGAAGGCAGCCTAGTAACTTAGAAGTTCCTGACTAAAGAAATAATACAACTTAAAATCCCTTACCTTATATAAATCTTCAAATTATTCAGTAAGTTTGCAAATGGTACTCAAGCAAAAATCCTTTTCTCTCCTACAAAAAAATTAAAATAGACAAATCAATGCAGAAATGACACTGAATATTTAAAATCAGGACTTTGCAAATGCCCTCACATACATTAACCACACAAGTTATGATGTGAACAGCAGTGCAGGAAGCCAATCACTGCCACCTGTGTTGGCTTTATTTTTAAGCTCTACATAGAAATGTTTTGTTCTTGTTGCCTGGCCCTTTAAAATGTAAATACATAATTACATGTCAAAAAAGAATTCATAGACTATCAGGTGTATTATTGTATTTACATTGTCCAGACTATCTCCTGTCACCTTACTCATGTCTCTAATCACCAAGTAAGCCAGATATGGAAAAAAACCTACCTTACCATGTAATAAAACTGCTTATTCTTGGCCGGGCGGTGGTGGCGCACGCCTTTAATCCCAGCACTCGGGAGGCAGAGCCAGGCGGATCTCTGTGAGTTCGAGGCCAGCCTGGTCTACAGAGCGAGATCCAGGAAAGGCGCAAAGCTACACAGAGAAACCCTGTCTTGAAAAACCAAAAAAAAAAAAAAAAAAAAAAAAAAAAAAAAAACAACTGCTTATTCTGGGCTTTAAGTGTAATATATTTTCTTAAGACTTATTATATGTAAGAGTGGTTTGCCTGCCTGCCTGCATGCATGCGAATCATGTGCATGCCTGGTGCCCAGGGAAGGGCTTTAGATCCCCTGGGATTGGAGTTACAGATAGTTTTAAGCTGCCACGTTAGTGCCAGGAACTGAAACCAGGTCTCTTAACCACCGACCCATCTCTTCAGCCCCTTTAAATGCATGCAATATTTTTGAAGGTTTCCAACTGTCAAGAACTAAGATCTTCCTAGCAGGTGTGGTCACTCTACCACCCACATGTGACCCCAGGCCGCTGAGAATAGCTATGAATGCAGTCCAACCTACTTAACACATAGGAATCGTGTGTGTGGTTCTTCTGAGCATCAACTTTGAAGGTGACAATGTTGTGCCTCAACTTCAAAGTCAAGTCTTACCCCTGAGTAAATAAACCATCTCTGTGTACAGGGAAGAGTGATATATTTGTGTCAGCTAGTCTTGGGTTGTCAGCCTGACTATGTCAGAACAACTAAAACCCAAGCAGCTGGGCACAGCTGAGAGATTTTCTCGGTGGGAAGGAAGGCCACACAGAAGCTTTTCCTTCCCACCAGCTTGCCCCACCTTTACTGGTGTCAGAAGATACTCCTTCCACAGTTTCTCCACCACCGTGGAACTGCTGAGACACCCAGTCTCATGAACTGAACAAGAACAACCACCTGGCCTCTCCTTTGAGACATCCATTGTTGGGCTAGCTAGACCATAGTCTGTGAGGCCCTCTAGTAAGCCCCCCTTTGATGTGTATGTATCCATCTAGTCCTTTAAAGAACCCTGACTATGGTAGTCTACACATTAGGGATATTCTGATTCCACGATAGTTCATCTTGCTCATGAAGAGAAGCCAGTGCCTACAGAGGGACAGACAAGCAGCAAGGGACAAGTAGTTCATATGCTCACCAGACTGCACATACATCAAGCTTGGAGGGCAATGTTAAATATTTGTATAACTGGACCACAATCCCACCCCCCAAAAAAACCACAAAGCATGAGGCTATCTAATTTTTAATTATGGTCTAGTTCCAACCAGCTTTTCCAGCTACCTCCACAATTAGGAGGAAATCCAAGGGAGAAAAAACACTCTGACTGAAAAGACTTTAAGTGACCCAGGAACTTTCCATACCAAGGTACATAAATTATATGTAAATGTAGGCAAGGAAAACAAAACAAAAACCATGAACTTTAAGATCTCTGAATTGGAGGCCAGCCTGGTCTACATAGCGAGTTCCAGGATAGCCAGGGCAAAAGAGAAAAGGGGATGGGGTGGGGACCACTAGGCTAAAGATCTGGCTCAGCAGTTATGAGAACTAGCTGACCCCAGCAGCCACATGCCTCACAACCCTCTCACTCCAGTTCCAGTTCCATGGCCCCTTTTGGCCTCAGGTGCAGACATACATATAGGCATTAACACCCATACGCAGAAAATAGATTTTTTTTTTTAAAAAAAGGGACCAATTACTCGGATATGCATGCTTTTATACTCATTATTAGATCCAAATGCTAAATACGAAATAAACAGAAACTTTAATTTTAAAGAAACTAGCATTTGATCAGCTTCCAAGATCCTGAGCTGACCTCTCCACCTCCTATATTCCTGCAGCCTCTCTCGAATCCTTAGATAAGGCAGACTTCCTAAACACATTTTCAAAGATCCTCTTCTCTCTTGGCCTTCTCCCTCAAGGGAAGCCAGCTGCTACAGCCTATGAAGAGGTCATGTGAACAGGAACTGGACAAGTCAGCACTTCAGACAGTCATCAACAAGCCCATAAGACCTAGACCTATCCCCGGGTCCCAGATGCACATAGGAAGTAGTATTTGTCACTTTGAACCACTTGACTTTAATCAAGAGGCTCAACTCGGCCGGGCGGTGGTGGCGCACGCCTTTAATCCCAGCACTCGGGAGGCAGAGCCAGGCGGATCTCTGTGAGTTCGAGGCCAGCCTGGACTACCAAGTGAGTTCCAGGAAAGGCACAAAGCTACACAGAGAAACCCTGTCTCGAAAAACCAAAAAAAAAAAAAAAAAAAAAAAAAAAAAGAGGCTCAACTCATATTCATATCCAAAAAGGAAAATGTAAAACCTTGTAAGATTTAGGACTATCTAAATTTGCTAACCAGAAATCCCAGAACTCCAACACTTTCTAGAGCAAAGAACAGAAGCCGGAAGCCTTGTGAGTATCTGAGTTATAGCAGGACACAGCATGGAGGGTGCTAGTGAACTAACTAGTCAGGAACCCAACCAGAGCAGATGCTCAACAGGCACAGCACTGACCCTCCAACAGAGTTGACGGTCTCCCCATAGGGCCATTGTCACCAATAGTGCAGAATATAAAAGCACAAGCTGCAGCAAAATGCCTAGCAGACACGCAAGCACACAGAGCTAGTCTCTACGTTTTAGAGGGATCTGCTGGAGAGGTGTCTCAACAGTTAAGAGGACTGGAGTTCCACCCACAGCACCCACACAGCAGCTCCACAACTATTAGCAACTCCAGTTCAGGCGATCTGATGCCCTCTTACAGCCTCCACAGGTACCATGCATGCACATGGTGAAGACATACACACAAAAAAATAAAGGCACCTGTCACCAAGACAGATGACCGGAGTTGGATACCTGAGACCATGGTCACATAAGAAAACAAACTCCAAGTTGTTCCCTAACCTCCACACACCCGCACGTACACAATAAATAAATATAATAAAAAAAATTTTCACCGTTCAAATATAGGTCATTAAGATTTCACCAAAGTCTTTAGAATGCCAGTTTTACTTGCAATAATCTATTTCAGGTCAGCTCTATCTCCCAGAATATTTAATATACACAAAACAGATGACTATACCTTTCCTGTGTATTTCATATCATCTTCCAAAGCCACATCTCTTCCAGACATCACCAAGAACAATCCCTGAAAAAGAGATTTTCTTTTAAATCATTATGAAGGGACAATGTCTGTTACAACAGCACCTTTAGCAAAGCTTACATATCCTCATTAATTCCTCAATAATCACAGCAGATCATTATGTGAACAGCAGTGAAAAGGTTTAATCATCGGATATGAAGCTACTAGAGGAAACAGTAAAGAGACCAAAACTACTTGCTGTAAATCTGAAAGTCCTCTATTATCTGGAGCAGATACCTCCAGGTCTGTGGCATGTAAGTAAATGTGTTTTGCAGTTCCCCATTTGTAATTCACGACAGCAATGTAGTCAAAAATCCATGAGACCAGGAACACTGAGCAGTGTCAGACGATCAGGACTCCTTTACGTGGAGACCCTCCACAGCAAGTGTGCAATTAAGCACTGTAGATGCTAACCTGGCTTTCTGCTCAGCTGAATCTCCTCCTTCTCCTTCATGAATATCCTAGGTTATACTTCTGAAATCATTTAGCCTGTGGTGGTCTGAATGAGATGGGCCCCCACAGGTTCATCCATTTGCATGCTTTGTCTTCAGCTGAGCTGTCAGGGAAGGAATAAGAGGTGTAGCCTTGCTGGAAGAGGTGTCTCTGGGAGCAAGCTTTGGCTTTTCAAAAGCCCCACTCTCCGCTGGCACATGAGAATATAAAGCTCTCAGCAACTGCTCCAGTACCATGCCTTCCTGCCTGGCTTCCTGACATAATGGACCAACCCTCAAAACTGTAAGCCAGCCCCAATTAAATGGTTTCTTTTTTAAGAGTTGCAGAGAGCCGGGCGGTGGTGGCGCAGCCTTTAATCCCAGCACTCGGGAGGCAGAAGCAGGTGGATCTTTGTGAGTTCGAGGCCAGCCTGGTCTACAGAGCAAGATCCAGGAAAAGGCGCAAAGCTACACAGAGAAACCCTGTCTCAAAAAGCCAAAAAAAAATAAGAGTTGCAGTGGTCATGGTGTCTCTGACAAAGAGAGCCTGGACTCCCACTTCTATGGTAGTGTCCCAGTGCCCAGTGCCTCATGTTCTCTCAATACTTTTAACAAAGGTATCCAAGTACTAATCATTACACAAAATGTCCTTCAATTGTAACCTGTATACTTTAACATTTCTGTATTTTCATGTATAGCTTAGCTTATCTGTGTACGTCTGTGTACCACCTGCATGCCTGATGCCCAGAGGTCAGGTGTTGGATCCCCTGGAACTGAAGTTACAGGTGATTGTGAGCTGCCATGTGGATGCTACAAACAATCCTGGGCCCTTTACAAGACCAGCAAGTGCTCTTAACCACTGAGCCATCTCTCCAGAGACATAATCAGTATGTTTTATTTTTGAGATAAAATTTAATTATGTAGCCCAGTCTAGCCTGGAACTCTGCATGTTCTGAAGTCTACTCCAACCTCACCACTCCTCTATAAACCCTTGTACAAATGCTTAATTTTCCTGAAATGTCCAGAATTTTTATGTGGAGTAGGTTCTCTGTTGTGGAATAATCTTTTTGACACTGTGAATATGTATCACTTGGATTGGTTTAATAAAAAGCTGAACAGCCAATAGCTAGACAGGATTTTCAAGGCAGAGAACGCTGGTAAGAAGGGTGAGTCGCAAGGAGACAGCAGGACTCAGGAAACAACATGGGCAGTACAGAGTAAAGGTAATAAAGCCTCGAGACACAAAGTAAGTTAATAGAAATGGATTAATTTATCAGCACTAGCCAAAAACAAGCCTAAGCTATTGGCCGAGCTTTCAGAATAAGAAGTCTCTCTGTCATTACTTGTGGGTAGTGGTCCAGCTACATCCTCCCCTTCCTCCTTTACATGGGTTCTGAGACTGATTCATGCTGTCAGGCCTGTGGCTGTGCGTTCCCAGGAGCTATCTGGCTTGTCCCTGTTGTTTCGAGCATGGCTTTGTTTTCACTCTGCTACAACCCGAACCAAAGCTTTGTGCAATGCCAGACAGCCAAATGCTTTCCCACTGACTCTATGAAGATTTTCTTTCTTACAAGCTTCTGTGCACTACAGTCAACCACTTCACACCTATAAACATGTGACAAACATGGAACTTTCACCCTTGGTAGCAAATGGGGACAGGAACTTGAGAAGCAATTCCACTTACATCATCTAGAGAAACAGAAATTTATCCATACTTGTCCATACTCAAGGCATCACTATTAGTAACACTCAAAAAACAAACATTAACAATGTAAATGCACTGGCAACTGATGTCTTACATATACAGGGTTACACTTTGGCAACAAAAAGAGCAAACTGGTAACACTTTTCTACAGGAAAAGCCAGCCACAAAAATCCTATGTACTAATTTATTATCCCATCTATCTGAAACTTACAGAACAGGTCCTCTACACAGGCACAAAGGGACAGTTACTAAGGATGGAGTTTCTTTGGGCTAGAGATAAAGCCAAGTAGGCAGAGTGCTTGCCTAGTGTGCATGAAGCCCTGGGCTCAAAATCCAGAAGCACATTAACTGAGCTTAGCACAGCACAGGGGAGGTATACAGTCACCCTGAGCTACACAGCAAGTCTAACGGTGTCTTCATAGGGTGATGTAAAACTTCTGAAAGTGGCCTGAACCTTTATTCCTGGCCTTTTAGGAGACCCATTCAGGAAGATCACCTCCAGCTTGAGAACAGGCTCTGGGAAACAAACCTGTCTCAGAAAGACTAAGAAAACTGCGAATGTTCTGAAAACAAGAGCAGGTTGGTGGTGCAGTGGCCGAAAGCACACACGAGACCTGGGCTTGGATCCCAGCACTGCAATATAAAACACAGATGTGCTGAAAGCTGCTTTAGTATGTGAGACCATACTAAACCTCACTGAACTGTATGTACAGTTAATTGTGAGGTGAAATAACTCAAGAAAACTGATGCAAAGCCCTGTATTTTAACCATCAAGCAAACATTTACACCATGCCTTCCCCCAGCACCCGGTGTCCCCCAGTTCATGGGCTTTCTTTTAAAAAGTAGTAAAAGAGCCGGGCAGTGGTGGCCTAATCCCAGCAATTGGAAGGCAGAAGTAGGCGTATCTCCGTGAGTTCGAGGCCAGCCTGGTCTACATTTTGCGAATTCCAGGAGAGCCAAGGCCACATAAACTCTGTATCGGGGGAAAAAATAATAATAAATGAAAAAACAGCAAAAGCTGTCCATTTCATCCAAATAAGGTATAAGCATAAATTGGAAAGGCGTAATTACAATACCTTGATGACTTGCTGACTTCAATCCAGAGTAAAACAGAAGGCGGAAAATCTTGTTGGACTTGAAAATTAATATCATTTTAAGGATACAAAGAAATGAAAACTTTACATGCTTCTCTAGCTGGCCTACATTGAAAGGAGCTAATGAATACGCTAAGACTCTCCTTGAGAAAGACAATACGCCTTCAATTGGCCGTTTTTTTCGTTCTGGGAAGTGTAAATAAAAGGAATTTACTTTGTTCTAAAATCTTCTCAATCCTAAAATCCACAATGCCCCATTCCCAAGTCCGAACAATGATCGGCCTGCCCTTTCTCTATGTTTCCGCTCTTGAGCGGCTCCCACTGCACTGGAGGACTGCGAGGGCCCGAGAGACCTTACCTCCTCTTCCTCATCAGGGCAAAACGTCTTCAGAAAAAAGGTTCGCTAAATTAGGATTCCGGGGCATCCTCGGTCAAGCTCCTGTGTGGTATTCACATACATAGCGCCAGGTCACACCAAAACCTCCTGCGTCATCCCTGCATCCGTGAGCTACAAAAGAAGGCACGAGGCATGGGCTGAAATCACTCTTTTGTCCCTGCCTGGTCTGCAACATTCATCGGACATCGCGTCCTGTCCCTACCCGTCTCCTGGCGCCATTCTCCCACCGGTCCTCCACAGCAAGCGCCACCATCGCCAACGCCACCGGCGTCAGCTCGCTTCCCGCCTCTCTACTACCCATTGCTAGGCTGGCCAAGGCGCGATGGCGCCGGATCGCACGCGAGTAGGCCAGCCGCGAGAACACCTGGGCGCTGTAACAAAAGAATCCCAGCGGTGCGAGGCGAAGGCGCGGCCCGCGGAGGGTCTCGAAGGCTCCGGGCCTCTCCGATTGGCTGCTGCGACACGGCGTGGCCTGCGATTGGCTAGGCCGTCGAGGGCGGCGCCTACGGAAGGCAGGGTAGCATCCAAAGCCCGCCCTTCCGGTCCGGTCGCCCAGTACTCGGGCGGAACCGAGGTTACCGCGACGCAGGGTCTCGCGGGAGCGCCACGGGTAGGACAGCCGGAAGTTGCTCTGAAGAGGACCACAGCCCCGAGGAGTCCTCGGGGAGCATCGCCACCGGTCCTCCGGCCGTGTGAACGAGCGCAGCCGCCGACCCGCCGCAATGCTGCGGGACCGCCGGGGTGGGGCGGTGGCACATCGCGGAGCGCCGCCGGACGTGCGCAACCGGAAGCGGGGCGGGGAGCGACGGCCGTTAGGGACTAGTGCCCCGTGCTGGCTTTCCGGTCTGAGTGAGGTTACTCGAAAGACTTCCTCTTGCCGTTTTTTAATTTAAAGTGAGGCCGTCCGTAGGCGTCTGGCGTGGTGGTGAACGCCAGTAATCTCAGCCTTTCTGAGGCGTGGTAGGAAATTTCCGAGTTGGAGACCATTATGGTGACTCTGCCATCCCGGTTTCTGAAAGTCTTTCATACCATGTTGAAGGCATACCGAGAAGGAGAAAAGTAGGTAAAATAAATCCTTACAAACACGAACTTCTAAGTAGAGCCTTTTGGTTTTGTGGGGTGGTGTCTCCTGTGCAGATCAGTCTGACCCGAGAATATACATGGAGCCCAACATGGCCTCAAACCTTCCTGCATCCGCCTTCGCAGACCGCGGCCCTACACCATGTCCTACAATGTCAGAATTTGTAGTCTGTTGAATGAATAACAATAAATTCACATGTGATGCAGTTTCATTGGGTTTGATTTACCAGGTAGATAATTGATAGCTTGTCACTGGCCATCACAGCTGCTTTGATTTCAGTGCGTGCGTGCACGTGTAGGTGGGCGAACACAGGTCAGGTCAACCTCAGCTGTCACTCCCCAGGAGCCAGCCATCTTTTTTTTTTTTTTTTTTTTTTTTAAGAGTCTCTCACTGATGACCGACCAATTAGACTAAGCTGGTAGGCCAGAGAGCCCTCAAGTTCCTCCAGTCTCTGCCTCCCAGCACTGGGATTACACCACATGTTTTTAATGTGCTGATCTCATTGCCTCCACGTGTATACTGTCCAGGATTCCCTTCCCGCAGCAGGTGCGTCTTCCAGTCACTGTAATCCCTCAGACATACTCAGAGGCCTGTCCTCTAGATTCTAAATTTTGTCAACCTGACAACACGACTGACCAAGTACCAAATGTTAGCTTTTTTCTTAACATTTCCTTCTTGAATCTGTTTCCATCTCCTACCCTCCCCGCCACCAAAAAAAAAAAAAAAAAAAAACCACAAACCTCAAGCTTCTCCATGCTAGCTGGGACGTATGTGTTTGACCAGATCTGTGTGCTGCTTTGGGGAGTAGCTTTCTTGGCTCTTACTAAAGATAGCACAAGATAATTTTGGCTCTGGACCTGTAACATTCCATCTCTCTACAGTCTTGGAAATTCCGTCAGCCTTGTGGAATCTCTGACACAGGTGGGGCTCCTCCCCCTTGTTTGTTGCTGTTATTGTTGAGACAAGGTCTCGTGTATGTCAAGCTGGCCTTAACCTCCCAGTGTAGCTTGAGGATGATCTAGAACCCTTGACCCACATGCTTCAGCCTCCAGAGCCCTGGAATGACATGCTTGTTCCATTATACCCAGCTGATCTCTGCATTTCGAACTGGCCTGGACTTTCTTGACAAACTGCACATAATTTATTTCCTTTATATGCAATAAACTGGCTGTTTCCTGGCTTCTGTGTAAAATCCACTCTAGTTTCAACTTACCAAGATCTAAAATAAAATGGCCCAGGAGAGTTATAAAAATTACGTTAACGTATCCTCAGACCAATTTTGTGTCACTTGGATCTCCCTCTGAACTCAACTCCTCATTTCTTGTGATTACCAGTGAAAGAATTCAGATGAGACACATAAGAGCAGACTGTTGAAGATAAGGGGCTTGAACAGTGTAACATGAAGTACACCCAAAGGAGAGTGATTAATGGCCAAAGGGAGCACTGGCATAAAAGCTCACTCCCAGGAGTGAGAATGGACACTGCCAGCCTACATTTTTAGGAATGCTTTAAAACACAAAAGTCTTTACAACAGATAGTTTATTTTTGTTCCTGCTCAGGTGATTGACAGGCCCACTTGCATGATGATACCAGACATATTTAGTCCCAGCACTCAGAAGAGAGAGGCAGGTGAAACTTCAAGTAAG